CCCTAAACCCTAAACCCCTACATGATCCTCGCTTCGGGAGCCAGGAACGGCCCCCACGGCAGCCCCGGGCCGGGTGCGGCCCCCCTTGCCACCCAAGGGGGCCCCGGCAGGACTGCACCGGCTTTAGGGTTAAACCTAGGGTTTAGGGTTTAGGGTTTAGGGTTTAGGGTTTAGGGTTTAGGGCTAAGGAGATTCTTACTCTTGATAACATAAATCCCTGCAGTACCTTAAAGACCCGACACTATGGGAATGAACTTGTGGGTAATGTAGGATTTCTATCAGCAAAGGGAGTATAGTATTGTAGAGGGACTACGTAAAAGAGAATTGTGCTGCTGAAGTTTTGGACCTCCAAAGATGGCCGGCCGGCAACATGGTCTGCAACGGCGAGTCGCGTCAAAACTATCAAAAGGCACTTTGCCGTTTGCATCCGATCTTGTCGCTTGTTCCGACACATTTTGTCAAGCGAGAGCCAAGGTTTCCAACCAACGCACAGCCTTATTCTCGCTTCGGGTGGAGGGTGCAGGGATCCATGCTCCTTGCGACAGGGGCGATGGGGATCATTGGAGTCATTCCCGCGGGTTGCTGAGGTCTTCTGATGGCCTGCAAGAGCTTCCGGGATCCCGCGAAGAGCCTGCTACGGTTTCAGGTTCATGAGGTTCATATGACGAGCTCCGCGAAGGTCAGGCCAAAACTCACGCCAGAATCTTCCGGGAGTGCATACTGAGCCCTTATGTGCAACTGGCCTGAAAGCTGCCAAGTTTGCAGGTTTAGGGTGTTACAGTGGTCTCCAACCCCACACCTGAAGACCCAAAAAATCTTGAAGCCCTATATAAAGCCCACAAAAGAGCATCTGGAGGAGGTGGCTATCCCGCACCCTCTGCGCTGCCTCCTTTGGGAGGCTCTGCTAGGATGTGGGATCCGTCAGTCTCAAGTCTTGAGCTTCTGGTGCTTGAAGGGCTTATCATAGGGCTCAGAGGGCAAAGAGGTTTTACAGTCGGGCTTATAGTGCCTAGGGGGCTTATCATATAGGGCTTGCAGGCTTCATTACCGAGCTTGCGGTGCTCACTAAAACTCGCTTGAGGGAGTTATTCATTATATATGGGTTCTCCGAATTTGAAGAGGCCTCTATGGCCTTTGACCAAGGCAGCCTCCGGTCAAGCCGCAGCACCAAATTCGACGAGGCTGGCTGCTTCAATCCTCAGGGCTCCTGTAAAAGTGCTAGAAAGGGGCTCCTCTGAGGGCGTATCGGGGTACCATAGTATTTTATTTAAATTACCAAGTATTGGTATCCCGTAATGTACATGATGGTGTATGACTGTAGGTAACCATAAAAGGGCTACTATGAGGGTTACTATAAGTGCTATTACAAGGTTACAAAACGGGTTCTGTGATGTTTGCTAGTTACGAAAGTTGCATAAGAACTTTTGTCTCCTTATAGATTCTAAGTCGTTACTATTGATGGCTCCTTGTTTGATGCTAAACCCTGTAGACCCTAAACCCGAAACCCCAGACCCTAAACCTTCAACCCCAATAAACCCTAAAGCTTAAACCCTAGACGAAGCTTTCGCGCCAGGTCTTAACCGGATCGTCCGAGGCAAGGCCAGCTGCGATCGCCTCTCACAGCAGTTCCTTTAGGGGCTCCGTCACTCAAGGTGCTTGCAAGAGATACTCTAAGGGCTTGAAGTGACTATGGACTACTATTAGCATAAGGGAAACTACATGGGCTAGCGGTGACTATGGACTACTATCATAAGGGACTCTTTAAGGGACTAGGGATTATCATTATAAGGGGCATTAGAAGAGTTCGGAATCTATGACCAATATTTTCCCCTACCTCAAGGTAGTGCCCGGCAGAAACAAAAAGCTTCTCTTTTTCGTGCCCTGAGAGGGTTTTCGGTTAAGGGTTTGGGAGTTTAGTCGAAGTTACAATAATAGGCATCTAAAGTAATAGCATGGTTTCTTTATTCTGGCAACTTAAATTAAATCCTTAAGCAAGAACCCAAGATATGTTGATCCCCTCTATGGCCCTTCTGAGGGAGCAAGGCCTTTTTTTTGTCAGGAGCTTAGTTTAAAGTGTAGTTTTCTTAAAGAACAGCAACGAACCGTGACTTGCGTGAAATGGCTTCCGTGGGACAGTGGAATATGCTATTTCTTACCATTATAGCACAGTATACCCGAAATATTAAAGCCCCATCCCCTCAGTTCAATCTGAGCATTGCTACGCTTTCTAGTCCGCTTGTTTGCGATCACTTGGTGGTCCTCACAGCTACGCTCAAAGACCCAAGTTCACAGGTTTAATGATTTCATCCATGAAACTGAGCTCTACACGAAGCCGGCTCAAGCCGCATAGCCGTGTTGCTGCCCTTGCGCGGTGGACGAGCCCAGTACTTAGCCCAACCCCTTTCTCCAAACTTGGCTCTCGCATGGATGCTGCCCCAGCCCTGAGTCCCCAAGCCAGAGCATTCATTCCTTCCTCATTTCTGTGCCCACGTCGCAACAACATGGAGGATGAGCAGGACTACGAGGGGGTTTTGTCGTACCTTAAATCCTGAATCATACATACATACATACATACATACATACATACGTACATACATACATTTTGATATATACATGTATGTATGTATTTGCACATTTCCACTGACATAAATATACATGTGTATATATATATATACTTTATATACATATACACACATGCTATACGATAGTGCCGATTTCCAAGCAGACAGATGTTGTATTGGAGAGACGACTAAACAGAGGTCCAACTCTGGGGAGCGCCGCCAATAGTTGGAAGAGGCACAGTAACCACAGGGTCAGCACTTGACTCTTCCGACGTTCAGCAACACTCCTTACAGCGTTTCGTCCCGTTCTTGTTCGTTCGAACGCTTCATCTAGTAACAATCCCAGCCGAACGACCTACCACCGTATATGCTGCAGGAAGTCAGCAAAAGCTTCCCGCTTCTTTTTGCTGGAGGGTGTAGGGTAATTACACGTACCCTAATCATACGGACCCTAAGCTCGAAACCTTAAACTTTAATCCCTGGTGTTCAGGGACCTGAAACCGCCTAAGCCCGAAACCTTAAATTCCGTAAATGCTAAACTGTCGTTGCAGGAGATTAAATCCGGGAGCCGGGTCGGGCCACTGGCCTTCTCAGGCACCAGTTTGCTGTTTGGGATTAGTGTGCTTGGGATTTGGGGTTTCTAGCCTTCGGGGTTCAGGGCTTAGGGTTTGTATTGCTTGGGGTGTCGGGTTAAGGAAAACGACTCTTGCGAAACCTCCTTTTCCATGATATAACTGCGGACTGATCAGAGCCCTGTGATGCATTTATTTGCAGGGGGGTTCATTGAGACGTGTGGCCGGTTCTGCGCACGGCTGGTTTGTGATTCAAGCGATTGCTTTTGGTAGTAAGATTGCCATTACTATGAGGACTACCTCGTACCATTCTTACTCGCGCTATGACTATTGATGTTGCTAATACTCTGGCTATTGCGAGTGATATTGCAGGATCAATTTCTATGTCTATTATCAGTTGTTAATATCAACGCCGTTGTCATTGTCGCGATCGTGTGTATCTGTATTACATTGACTTACCTTCCACTTTTCGTAGTAGTAGTCGTCGTCGTAGTAGTCGTCGTCGTCGTCGCAGTAGTCGCAGTCGCAGTCGTCGTCGTAGTCGTAGTCGAAGTCCTAGTCGTAGTCGTAGTCGTTGTAGTAGTCGTAGTAGTAGTCGTCGTCGTAGTAGTAGCAATAGTAATAGTAGTTCTTGTTGTCGTCGTCGTCGTAGCAGTAGCAGTCTTGAATCCTGAGAGGCGACTACGTCGAGCTCGGAGACGTGATCGGAACCGGCGCACAGGGCCAGGCAAGGTGCGGATTTTGCAGAGATGTCTCAGGGGCTTGTCTAGGCCGAACGTCATGGTTCATCTAAGCGCTGGAGGTCGGAGGAATTCGGAATGTTATTGCTTTGTCAGTACATAATCATACCATAGCACACCGCAAAACCCTGTTCTAATTGCTAAGACCCCTACAATATATTTGGAAGTGCCGTCTCCCTCATCGCTCATGTTGGCAGTTCTTGAGGTTATGAAGATGTTCGCAGTGCCACAGCCTCATGTTGTGTTAACCTTCAGATTCCAATCCTTCTGAGCTGCGTGCTAGGTTGTTGTTGGCTTTGCAGGGTTTATCGGATTTTGGGGTTTAGGCGTTTAGGGTTTGTAGGTTGTAGGGTGTAGAGTGAAGTTTCTGAATCAGGTTCCGAATATAGTGGCCTTCACAAGAACCTAAATATTTTCTTGGGGGGGAAGGGTTCCCTTTTATCATTATAGCATAATATACCCCAAAACCCTATTCGAATTATTAAGGCCCCCATATTATACTAGCAAGAGTGTCGGCTTGTGCCCTTGCCCGATTTCGTCAGGTCTTTGCATGCCGGCGTGAAAAGAGCGATGCTCGCTTGGCTGCCAAGGCCCGCCACAGCTAGTTGGCAAGGGCTTGGCGTCGCAGATGCCTGTGTCTGTTGCTGAGCCCGCTTTCTTTTTGAAGTAGCTCTGGTCAAAGATACAAGCCTCAACAATGGCTAATACAATGCCATTTTCGCCCCCCCCCTACAATTATGGGATGATATACCCGCAAGCCCTGGTCCACTAAATCAGGCGCTTATGGTACATCATACCAGCGAACCCCCAGGGTTCCCCTGTAGATGTGCCTCCATTGGTCAAGACTCTGAGGAGCCACCGAGCTTCCCAAATGTTCATACTCGTAGTAAGGAACCCTAAACCTTTTGCACTTTTTCTTGTTGGGTTCCATTACTAAAACCGAATAGTAGGAGAAAGGGTACCTTTCTTTTCAAGGGGCTGGGGAACCGAGACCCTGATTCCTAAACCCCCAAAACCCCCCAGTTGAAGGCCAAAACGCGCATTCATTTAGGGTTTAGGGTTTAGGGTCATTAAGCATGAAGGGCTCAGTGCCGGAGGGGATGAAGGGAGCAGTACCATCAGACCAGCAACCATAAACTTAGTAGTCCCTAAACAATACACCCTAAACCCTGTGAGCAGGCCTTTTAAGCTAGCGCTTTGCGCTGTATCTACCCCCAAAACTCCTACTGCAAGTCACGGACATTCGGAATGATGCGTGAACCTTTGAGAACGCGATTGAATTGGGGAAATGCAACGGTGTGGAGTTTAGGGGTTTAAAATTCTTTCTCGATTTAGTAGCGTTTATGGTTTAGGGCTTTCAGGCCGCAAAGTTCCAGTCATCTTCACAGGAGCCAAAACCCAAAAATCCGAGATCCGAAACCTAAAGCTTTAGCCCCAAAACGAGGTCGTTGACTGCCAGCGGCTGCAGCTGGCCGCAGATGAGCCGGAGATCGTGGTGAAGAAGATGGAAAACGAGGCCCGAGGGTTTGGGGCATTGATGCATTAGTTTTGGCATCATGTGGGGCATACACGGATTTAGGAATGTTTAGCGTCTTAGGGTTTCGGATATTACGGTTCAGATTTTGGGTTCAGGGTGTCAGAATAGCAGGGTTTAGGGTTTAGCTTCCGAGGATCAGTCCCAGTCACAAGGGCATGCGCGATCGCTGGTCCCTACATCCATTTCGGAATCAGGGTCCCGCGTTTTATCATTTCGCCTCCTGCAACCGTGGGAATGATCGGCAAAAAAGTATACATACTATCGCCGTATAGTCCCTGTATAGTGACACCAAGCCATGTTCCAGCTCAAGAAACTCCATTCTCGAGCAGTCCCGTGCTTAGGTGCGAATCCTTCGCAACGCGGAGCATGCCGCTCGACGACACAACAGCTCGCCGTTCCTTCTGAAAATGTTGAAAGCAGCCCCCAAGCTAGCCAGCATTGTGGTTTAATGTAGGGGCCTAAATGATTACCAATACTATTCTGGGGGGGGTCCCTATTACAATTAGAGTATAATGGGCTCCAAAACCCTGTTCTAATTATTAAGGCGCCCACAGAAAGCGACTAAGGTTGCAAGAGTTGTAGGGAAGGCCGGGCTAATTCTGTGGCAACCTCACACTGTGTCTGCGGTGTGTAGAGCAGACACGGAAGACCCGCCGTAGCTCGTGCTGTGTCAGTGCCCAGGAACACTGTGTGAGCCTCTATGCCGCTCGCTTGCAAATATGGCTGGTCCAGGAAAGGGTAGCAACCATCCCCAAAATACTCAGCCCTAAACCATAAACCAGCGTTCAGAGCGAATCGCATCATCAAAGCGAAGCTGGTTTTGCTCCCGTTCTGCTCGTGTTTTTTGCAGGTTGCCACGTCCAGCCCAAGCTTCAGAATCTATTTCCACAGAACTTGCTCTTGAGTCCTACATAGCCGTGGAGCATCCGTCGTCATCTACCTAAACCCTAAGACCCTAACCCTTCAACCCAAGCCCGCGGCCAATCTAAGGACATCTACAGAACGCCCCGCTGGATCGTTTTGATCATGGAAAGGCTGGAGGGCGGCGAGCTCTTCGAGCAGATCGCGGCCCGGCCTGCAGTGGTCCATGCCTTCGGGTTCAGGGTTTACGGGGTATTTTGGATTAATTAAAGCCCTAAACTCTAAATACTCTAAACCCTAAGCCATTAAATTAGGGGTGTAGA